TGTTTACGTTTGTAATATCCAATTGTTTACTTTTGATGGAATTCAATGCAATTTGCTATAAGGACACCAGAACATAAAAAGTGAAATCGTGAAAAAACTACAATAGATATCCTAGCTATTTTTGCAGTGTAAGTACGGCATGGGGACCTGTATAACATACATCTGTAATCTTGGTGCTATAATGGTGTATCCCAAATTTATAAGCGTTTTCATCTTTAATTGTTCATAGATATGCATTTTAAAAGAGCTGAGGAAACTGGGACAATGCTTCGTCTAGACTTAGAACACACCCACGTGGGATAAGAATACACAAACCCTTGATCTGCTGCTCTGCGTCTGACTGATGTGACAAAGCAGAAGGTGGTCTGATTTTTATTCAAATGAGATACAAATTCACAAAATGAAATCTGAGTTACACATTTGGGTTCTCATTACTGGGAGGAGAAGGTGCACTTTTTTTTTTACTTCCAAATGGTAAAAACAATGCACCAGACTATTTTTCCATGAGTGCTCTGTTTTGACAACACGAACAAAACAATGACAAAATAATGATTACAATGACATATCACAACATTAAAGGGCCCATATTACACTATTTTCTTATTTGTGTTTCAATGCTGCTTCTTCATCAAAAACATACAGAGTTGTGTTGCTTCATTCAAACATGTTTAACACAAACCCTGCATATTTAGGCAAAAAAATAACTAAAAAAAACACTCTGTTCCACCTTGTGATGTCATGTGGCAATACAGGAAGTGCTCCATCGCATTATCCAAGACTTATCTATGCTTCACTAGAATCATTAGGATTATTTCAACCCTGGAACTGCCAAACTCTACTAAGTGAAACATAGCTGTTCGCTTGAAAACGACGTGCTGCTTCATGGCATCACAGGGTGGAACGGAGCTTTTTGAGCTTTGCAGATGTAGATAGACTAATAATAAAGGGTCACTCAAACGTGTGTGAATGAAACAAAACATTATAACATGGTTTAAAGCTCATATGAGTAAATTTTGCCTAAAACAGAAGCTTTAAAAACAGGTGGTAGTGGTCAGAAATACCATAGACACATTGGTCACCTAGACACACACACCTGCTGGATTTACTTCCTGTGTTCAGAATAATCAGTTTGTTCATATAGAAGCTACTACATCCTCTATATAACCTTTATAACACTCATATTCTTCCACTTGACTCCAGCCTTAACCCTAATCCTTTTTTCTCGTATTTGCAATTATCTTTCCATAAGGCCTATCTTCTGGGACAAGATTTACGAGCCCTGAGAACTCTTCACTTTATATGCACTGGGTGGAGGTGTGTCAAAGTGGAGAGGTAATTATTTGCTTGGCCAGTCTTAAGCCTCTCAAGGACGCTGTTGCCCATGTGTGTGTATTTGGATGTGTGTATCTGGTGACGGTGTCCTTGTAAACGCATGCAGCATGTATAGTAGCTTGTGATTTATACTTTTGCATTGTCGCACCACCGTGAATGCAACGCAAGTGGGCGCACAACTCATTCAGTGTGTGTGTAGAACAATGGCCCCCGTGAATTTGTCCTTGTGGATATTGCGTGTGCACCTCGGGGAGCCAGAACTGAGAAGGACAGAAGAGAAACAGAGAAAATATAAAGGTTGAGTTTAGAAAGAGGCATTATTCTTGAAGGACTCATATTATGTTATTTTCTGATCTATGTTTGTTTCATTCACACACATTTAACACACAAACCCTGCTTATTTAGGCTGAGTTCTTCTCTCAAACAAAAAGTACTGTATGTCATGTGGAAATACAGGATTTTTAAACTCCGCACACCTTCACTAGAATCATTTGGATAATTTCAGCCCTGGAATTGACCATTTCTACTGAACTAAAGGAAAAAGGAACTACTACTGCTACTGCTACATGACATCACAAGGTGGAACAGAGCATCTTGAAGCTTAGAGATGTAAACAGAGTAATAATAAAGGATTACTAAAACACGTGCGAATGAAAAAAAACACAACTCTGGGTATGTTTTTGAGGAGGTAACAGCATTACAACATGGATAAAAGCTCACAAGAGTCAATTCTGTGCAATATAGGACCTTTAAAAAATGTGCAGCATGCATTGGCAGTTTTGAATACCATGATAATAAATGCCAGTTACTTTGGAAAATATCCACTTATCCAAATATCTGCATCATTATCAACATTTATAACTGAATTATTAGGAAAGACTAACCAAAGTCTGAACCAGAACTGAAACAGAGCTATAAACCAAGGCTAAATTGGGATCCAAAGCTTAAGTTAAATATATGTTCCTGAGACCCAGGCCATTCATTTGTGTTCTTTATAGTGGACATTGAGTTAACCAGTCGATCTTTTAATGGGGACTAGGTTCCTCTGCCTAATTAGGGCTGGAGGATTATAGGGTGCTATCATGTCTAGGATAAAACATCTCAATAGGTGTTAGTTTGTGGCTGAACTATGATTTTTAAAAAAAGAAGAAGAAATTAAAAGGGCGTCTGAAAACTGACTGTAGAAGCTTGTCAGAGATGTTGGTCATTTTTGTTAGGTTAACTTCACGTGGATTTAACCCCAAAATGTCCCCAGTGTCCATTACAGATAAAACACATAAAAATCCAATTAACAAAATGTGTTCATTTACCTCCAAAATAGAAAATCACAAGAAATATATATGGCAATACACATTTTTGTCTTCGAGTCCCAGGATGATATATATTTTTAATGTCAGGATTATATTTTGTATTTTTGAGAACCTGAACTGACTGAAAACAACCCTTATTTTTGTTATATTAGCATAAAACTTACAGCATTCGTTCGTGTCAATATAGCTACAATTTCGCCTTTAGAGACTCATCAATCGTACAAGATCACCCGATCATCACCACCACAGCAGACAGATAATGTTTTACTCCTATGCCCATAAACATGTATTTACGACTGCTCTCTGGGGCACTGCTACCTGTTTTTTTTTACATTTGGCACTGAGTTGTATCTGTAAGTGTTTGCGCACACTTGCAGACTACAAAGTGGACATGAATTGGATTTCATTGTGCCATTATAGTGTCAGGGGAAAGCAATATGTTTTAGTTTGTGAGTGTGCATAGATAGCCAGGATAATATTGTAGTGTGAAGTGTGGATAAATGCGATTTCATGGTGTCATTTCCGGGCTGCATATATATATAATATACCAATGTGGTGCAGCCATAAATCTGAACCAGAGGATTTTGAGTGATGGTCTTGGGCAACTGCAGCTGAGAGAGCGATAATAAAAGCAGCAGGCTCAAGGTGGCTCCTGCCAAGTGGCCAATGATTAGACCAGAGTGGAGGGGAGTCACTTTGAATGGCCCCTCATCTCAGCTTCATTCTCCTCCAGAGGCCAGTTTTCAGCAACCACCAGCATCACTACTGCACTGTCATCGTGTGGCTTTTACAGTTTAGATTCAAGAGATTACTTTGAAGACAATGCTGTGATGTGTGGTTTAGTTTACTTTATGCTTTATTTGTCAGGCACCATATACAGATTTACTAATATTACAAAAGGAGAGGTGAACACACACATTAAAAATACACATTTCATAACAATTACATTATAAGACTAACTTAGTTCATCATTAAAAGGCCCATATTACATTATTTTCTGATCTACTGTATATTAATGTTGTTTCCTGATCAGAAACATACATGAAGTTGTGTTTTGTTTCATGCACACGTTTAACTCGCATATCCTGCATATTTAGTTCTTTTCTCAAAACAGAAAACACTCTGTTACAAAAAAAAAATCTGATGTCAAGTGGTCATACCGGAAGTGCTGCCCTGTGTTTTTAAACTCCATACACCTTCACTTGAGTCATTAGGATGATTTGAGCTCTGGAATTGTTATAACATGGCTTAAAGCTCACAAGAGTAAACTTTGTGTAATGTAGGACCTTTAATAATTCAATAAACTAGGCTATATAAAGCTTCTTCTTGACATATGATCCACTCTTTTGTTACCTATGATACAGTCAGTGGCTAGTTCAGTTTTTGATGCTGCTGCTTGTGTATGCAGTCTTTGTTTACGCAGTTGTGTGTGTATTGACCCTGCAGCATCGATCCAGCCTAACAGTGGGGAGGTCCTGCTCATAATCGTCAGGCATCATGATGGAGCAAAGGCAACTTGTTCTTCCAGGTCTACAAATACAGTCTGTAAAATGGAAATAGACTGTATGATCTGCTCCCTGTGGCCACTTATTTATGGGAGAAATTAGTCTCAGTGCTTGCCATTAGTCTGCTCGTGCCAATTTACGTCTAATGCATATCACAAACTGACCTCACCTCCTTGACTTATTGATTGTTCTTCCTCAAGTGGGGCTCCTAATACGTCTCCTCCCTAATGTTGGCGAGAGTCCAAGATGAATAAACTTCAACACATGTAAGCTGAGGCTGTGGAGGTTGGACCAAGGTGAGGCCGGTTCTGGTTGACTGGTCTGAGGGCACCTGAAAGGATGGTCCCCATAGGGCCCTCTCCCACTGATCATCATGTCTCTGAAAGCTGCTGCATTGCAGATGAAGAAATGGATGGAAGTGGAAGAGTGGAGGGAATAAAGAGGTGTGGATAAGAAGGAGAGCTGTTTGAATGTTCATAAAACTAAATTTAAAACTAGGTTTCAAAGAGTCCAAGAAAAGGTAGTCACTAGTGAAACAGTCACAAATGGTGGAAAAACTTCACTTGAACCATTTCAACTAAATGTAACTTCATAATTGGCCTATGCTAAATAATTAGTAGCCTATATGATGAAGTAAACACAGACAATAAATAAACAGGCTTTACAAATCTAGGCTTATAGGTCGGCTTATATAAAGCATATATTATATAAAGCGCACTCATTTGATGTTTAAGAGTTCAGTCTGCTTCCTGTACACAGACACATCCGTGTGTAGTGCTCCTGTCCCTCCCCTCTCTCTCTCTCCTCTTATACTCGGCTGTCTCCGCTCACCTCTCCTCCAGACTACCGTTACCGGAGAGTCGCGTGCATCTGTGTGGCTTTAACAGAGCAGCTCGTGCTCTCCCGCCATTTCCTCTTCTGATTCGGGAATGTCGAGCAGCGGCTCGAGCTCGTCCTCGCGGAAGGAGTTCGACGTGAAGCAGATTCTCCGGATCCGATGGAGGTGGTTCGGCCACACCGCGCTCTCTCCCACCCACTCCCCGCCACTGGAGCACTTCGCCGGGAGGAGAACGGGCGGTAGCCCCGGAGACAGAGCGTCTGTAAGCGGCTGTAGCAGCTCTGCCTCTGTTGGCATCAGCGGTCCTAGCGGTCTGGTAACCAGCGGCAGTGCCGGGTCTAACCTGTGCCACGGGAGTACTAACAGAAAGTTTGGAGAAGCTGCGGGGAGTCGCACCGGAGCTGGAGCAGGGAGCTGTCCCCGCTCTCTGAGCCAGCCCGAGTGCAGAAGCTCTTCCGCGGCTCTTTCGTGGGACTCTCCGCCGCCACACCGTCGCCCTCGTCCGCTCTCGTGCATGGAGGCATCGGGAGATCTGCCCCCGGAGCCCTCCGCCCAGGTCGGGCTGGAAGAGGAGCCCGTGTCTGCGGGTCCAGCAGCTGCGGGCACCGAGGACAACAACAACAACCCTGCGGAGACGGACTCCAGCTCGTGCAGGTAGGCAGTCCGCTCAGCTGCACGCGCTCCCAAAAAGTTTGGATTTTTCGCGGAGTCGAAACCGAGTAGAGAAGGTTTATTTTCCTAAGTCATATTCCCCTGTTGTGATTGTGTAACAGGCCAAGGTAAGTTAATCTATTGGCGGCATTCATCTTGTGACACATGGAATGGCATGATATCAGCCTGGCATCTGACATGTGGATGTGGTGAACCACCATCATTGAACAGAGGCTGGACAGAAATGGGATTTTCCAAAGCCATAACTGCGGCTCTGGAGTGATTACAAGCCTTTGCTCTGGTGGTCATTGGCCAACACGAGACCTTTGACAAAGTAACGCCTTCCCTTACTGTAGGTCACTGAAAAGGAACATGACATTCTGCAGAACACTCATTCTGCATCTGTACTTGGCTTTATTGTCAGTATACTGCTGTTTACCACCATAATACTGATAGTGCACAGCACAGCACTAGCAAATACTTTGTCAAATCTGTCCATTGACAGAGTGTAGCAATGTCACAGTCCACAAGTAAAAACCGTACCATGATCATTCTTTTATGCATTTGCATTTGCACAAATCGGTCCTGCATCGTACAGCACTGGAGCCATTGGATGCATTGGAGAGTGTGTAGTGCAGTCATATGAGCTTGTGTCCCTCCTCTGTTGCTGTGTACAGTCAGAGAGCACACAGGGCTGAGTCTCAAATGGGATCATGACAGAGATGTGCTCTGAATCCCAGAGTGGATGGACAGTGATCTGAAGCCAACTCATCGCTTCCTCTCAACTCCCAAATGACAACACAATCTCTCACACCATAGATCATGCAAGCTTTCACATCTGTCCCTTATTAAATGTAATGAGAAAGACAAAACGTGGAAACAGATCTTACAAATAACATACAGGTGGCAGAAAATGCAGAACCTTGGACATTTGACAGTTAGCCTCATGGTGAACTTTGTAATGAGTTATAATATTACTGTGCTAATCAAATAACAACCAAAAATCCAGCACTGGCACAAATGTAACCTCTGATTTAACCTCTGCAAATATAACATAACAGAATGTATTATTGTCAGTCTGTCAAGAGTCATAGTAAAGCACCAAGGACTTAGTACTTATCTAGAGGCTTGGTCAGTTGTGCATGTTTTAAGTTGTTTTAAATATTTAGGAAATGGTGAAAACAGACGAAACCCACCGAGACACTGGGAGAACATGCAAACTCCAAATACAAAGGCTCTGCCCTGACTGGGAATCAAAACCACTCAGTTGTTTTGCCCATTTAAAGGGGCCATGTTACGCTATTTTCTGGTCTGTTATAATTGGGTTGGGTTTTTCTTTCAACAGAAAACACTCTGTTCCACATGATTATTTTTCCCCCTTGTGTTTTTAAACTCCATGCACCTTCACTAGAATCATTTGGATAATTTCGGCCCTGGAATTGCCAATCTCTGCTGAACTAAAGGTACATGGAAGCTGTCAACTTGAAAACTTCCATTAAATGATATCACAAGGTGGGACAGAGCATTTTAAGGATGGCAATATTGACCTTTAAGCTTAATGTTCTGCTTCTCGTTCTCGTGGCAGTACAGTTTGCTGCACATCTGTTTCAAAGACGATGATTTTTGTTTTTCAAACTCAAAGAACCCGATGGGAGTGATTGTTTTGCACGCGCTGACTGACAGCTGAGCGCGCCCTTGCCTCAGTCCACCGGCAAAGAAGTTTTCGAAATCTGTCGGCATGTTGTGTGCACACCACAAACACACTCTCCCTCTGTCTCTGTGCTGTTCTTTGGGCCATGTTTGAACGGCTGCCAGGCTCAATTAAAAGCACAGAAAACACAGCCTTTCCTTCACTTCAAAGTCCTCTCCTCTGGCAGCATTTAGTTGTGCTTCATCTGCACACACACACTGAAACAAACGTGTAGGGACTCTGGCCAGACACCTCGCAGATATGAACAATGATAAAGAGGACAGCGGGATACAGGGAGTGATGGATGAGATTGGTGTTATGGCACTGAGTGAAGAGGTGGTGTGGACTGGAGCCAGGGACAAAAACAGGGACCATTCATTTAGCATTTCATTTTAAGTCACTGTTGCACTTTATGGTTTTAATTTGAGCCTTAAAGGTCAATGTCATGATAATCACTTCAGCATGTTTCCTGCTGCAGAAGGGTTATGCTTCCCTTTTTCTTATTCATACACTGGTGTTGGACTTTGAACGTTAGTCATTTTGGCTGTAGTATTTGTTCCCAGTTTCTGTACAGACAAAACAGTCACAGTGCATGTGTTTATGATGTAGCCATAACCATATCTCATGGTCTTCCACTGGAGCAGGAGCATGTCTACGTATTCTAAAAAAATTTTAGTGCATTTTAGTGAAAGAGCTTGTAACTCATTGATGGAATTGCTTTTTTCATACTTGACATTATGGAGACATGTTTTTGTCACATCCTGTGCATCGTTAAACACCTGGGAAAATGCATTACATGGTTTATATGGTTATAGGCTGAGCTGCTGCAGACGTTTAATTGGCATCTTCTTTAAACTGAGTGAAATTTATTTGTCTCTTTAGCCCCAGTAATTGGACCATTAAGAGTCTTTGTGCGCGCTGTGAAGTACAGTGAACTGAATGAAAAAGAGAGGCAGAAGAAATATGTGTGAGAGCGCGACAAACAAAAGGGCCGCTTCACATTGCAGCTGGCTCGGCTCTCCTCACAGATGTGTCTTTGTCCTAAAATCACTTTATGCTCATGGACTCAAAGCTCCTGTCTCCTCTTTGTCCCTTTGTCCTTGTGCATGGGTGATATGGTTGATGTTGGTGTTCATGTGTTGTTTTTCAGGACGTCGAACAGCAGCGTCACACTGTCCTCCTGTGTGTCCATGGAGCCATGTGCGTGTCCGGAGGAGAGCCTGTTCACCGCCCTGTCCCACGCCGACGTCACCTTCCGCAAGATGGAGGGCTACCTGCGCTCCCGCCAGCTCTGTGACGTCATCCTGGTGGCAGGAGAGAGGCGGATACCTGCGCACAGGTAACAGACACATCCTCTGTCTAGTTACTCTGAGAGCCACGATGTGATTCAGATTACAAGAACTTTTCAAATTAAAAGTATATTTAAAAGTCCAGATTCTACGTGATGAATGATAAACTGATTCAGATTCATTCTTGACATACTGAATATGTCGTGTGACCCAACTTTTTTAAAATTTGAGAAAAGTTGACCATTCAACCCACGTGGAAAATAAATGTACAGAAAACATAATCTATTGAAACATCATTTTGTTTTCACAGTTTCCATGGAGAACTGCGTGGTACTAGAAGATATAGACGATAAAGAGTTCCTTTTAGTTCCTTTTAGTCATTTTTTAACAGTCCACCCAAAGTCAAGTGAGCTTATGAATCATGCATCAATCACCCAAACACTTGTCAAACAGGAGTAGTCTCTCTCATTCTCTCTTCCCCTTTTTCCTCTCCCTGTTTCTGTCTGTCTCCTGTCTCTGTCTATATCTCGTTCTCTCTGTAATCACTAAAGCAGCAGTAGTCTCTCTTTTTCTCTTTCTCTGTTGTTCTTCTCTTTGTTTCTCTCTCTCTGTCTCTCTGTCCCCCTCTCTTTCTCTCTTTTTCTTCTCTAACCCTAACTCTCTGTTTCTCTCTCCCTGTCTCCACCTGCTTCTCTCTGTGATCACTACAGCAGTGGTAGTCACTCTGTTTCTCTTTTTCTTTTCTGTCCTCTTTGCACTCTATCTCCCTCTATTTCTCTCTTTCTTTTTTATATATCTTTCTGTTGCTATCTCTCTGTTTCCTCTGTCTCCCTCTCTCTTCTTGCTCTCTGTCTTCCTCTCTCTGCTTCTCTGTCTGTCTCCTTCTCTTTCTCTCTGTGATCATTAAAGCAGCGGTTGTCTCTCTCTTTCTCTTGGTCTCTTTTTCTTCTTACTCTGTTTCTCTGTCTGTTTCCCTCTTATCTTTTTGCTCTCTTCCTCTCTTTCTGTCTCACTCGATTTTCTTCTCTCTGTCTTTCTGACTCTCTGTTTCTATCTTTCTGTCTACATCTCTTTCTCTCTGTGATCACTAAAGCAGCAGTAGTCTCTCCCCCCCTCTCTTTTTCTTCTCTTTCTGTTTCTCTCTGTCTCCGTCTCTTCTTGCTCACTGCCTCCCTCTTTCTCCCTCTCTTTCTCTCTTTGATCACTAAAGCAACAGTAGTCTCTCTCTTTCTTTCTCTCTTTTCTCCCTTTCTGTCTCCATCTCTTTCTCTCTATGTTCACTACAGCAGCAGTCTCTTTCTTTATTCTTTCTTTCTCTCTCTCTCTCTTTTTCTTCTCTCTCTGTTTCTCTCTTCTTTCTCTACCTCCCCCCTCCCTCTCTGTCTCCATCTCTTTCTCTATGATCACTAAAGCAGCAGTAGTCTCTCTTTTCTTCTCCCTCTCTCTGTCTCCATCTCTTTCTCTCTATGAAAGCAGCAGGAGGCTTATTCTCACAGATGAAGCAGGACTGCGTCCCTCCTCTCACTTCTCTCTCTCTGCCTCCTCTGCCTTTTCCTTCTGCCTCATTTGGTCGAGGGCTCCAGGCACAGATGGTGGCATACAGACAGATGACCCCGCTGTACAAGAATCCTAATGGAGCGAACATTTTTGTGCAGCGTTTGCATACATTTGATTTATTCACACACTTTCTGGGCACACCTCTGTCACTAAAATGCGTTGTACAGTACATGCTGAGTACAGTCACAGATGCACACTGTATACTTTCTATTGAAAAACAAGGGCCCTGTTTTGTTCTCATAGTTCTATTGTTCAGCTAAAAACACATCCATGGTGCGTCACTGATTAATAAACATGTTAAAGGTGCACTGTGCATGTTACCAGCTTGTCTCCATGGATACTATGTTATTGCTTTGCCTGGAATGTTCCAAAGTATAACATTAAACACCTCTACTTTACATTTATTAAAATGTAGGTGGTTTTATTGCTCAAAAATATCCAGAAAAACGGGAATTCTGGGGGTTACCTCTCGACAGATTTGACCTGTAACTTCGTCTGGTTCGGTCTCCATGAAGATAGAAAGGTTTAATACCATACTGTAAAACATTTCAGGCAAAGCAATAACATAGTATCCATGGAGAAAAGCATTTGACAGACCCTTCACCAGAAAAGTTACACAGTGCACCTTTAAATGAGTTTCACATGCATTCTTAAAAAATATTTAGTTTTACGTAAGTGTGTCTTCAAAAATAAGTCAAGGTTAAGTCAAGGTTATTTGTATAGCACAATTTGTACACAAAGTAATTCAAAGTGCTTTACAGAATAACAGAGACATTAAAATCATAATGCAAACAAATCAAAACATAAATAATCATCATAAAATGAACACAAAAAAATAACAACCTTTCAGTCTTATGCACAGCAAAACAGAACTGTTTTGAGCCTGGATTCAAACATTGTCAAAATAGAGGCCTGTCTCACGTCTTTAGGGAAACACATTTCAGGAAATGGCTTCTAATATTGTTCTTAGTATTTCATAATCAGCCAAAATGTCATTGCTCAACATTTACAACTGACCAGTGGTGGATGAAGTACTCAATTTTGTTACTTAAGTAAAAGTACAGATACAGGGGCAAAATATTACTCAAGTAATGAAAAATCTACTTAAATAAAACTACTGAAGTATTTGTACTTTAAGAGTAAATAGTAAAAGTACTTTGCAGTGATTTTTTGAACAATTAAAGCATAAAATGTAACCTTAATTCAAATGTGCTAAAAATAACTCAGCCATTTCAGCACGTGTCACACCATGAAGAAAACTACTACTACTACTGCTTTTTACTTTTCAGTCCAGATCTAAAATGTAGTGAGAAAAAAATACAGATACACGCTCTGAAATGTAGTGACAAAGAAGCAAAAAGTATCCATTGTAAAATGTGCTTAAGTAAAGTGCAGATACCTACAAATTATACTTAATTATTGTACTTTTACTTTTGTACTTTGTTACCTTCCACCACTGCAATTAACACGCTTAAAATATTTTATGCTCTACTACAAACTAAAATACAATTAATTAGTGAACTGCAAAATAAAAAGTTAAATGAATGCTTGTAGATTTGGGGACAATAGTGATTTTTTTTTAACCATTGTCCCGTTATCCTGATGTTTTTGTTGTTTTTTCCACTCTTGCATCACTCCTCACAGCAGGACCCAGCAGGACACTATGGCCTCTTTTCCTGAGTCCCTCTCTCCTGTTTCCTGCTTTTGGTTGTTGCAGTATTTTGTTAGCGTTCTTTCCTTTTGCCCTGTGACTTCTGAACTAGTCTCTTTCACATCCATGCTTGTGTAAAAAGATTTTGCTTGTAGTTTAGTGGTCGTCTAGACAGTGAATATTATTACCATTAGATGGCTAGGCAAATTACGGTAGTATTTCTGTTGTGTACTGAGATTTACTCGATACATTTTTATTCAAAAGCTTCTAAACATACAATATTTATGAATAATGTATTATTGACAAAACTCAGATAAAAAAATGACTTGGGATTGAAAGGGCCCATATCACACTATTTTCTGATCTATGTTGTAAAATTTCCTCACCACAAATATACGTGGAATTTTTTTGTTTTGTTTTTCATTCTAACGTGTTTAACACAAAACCCTGTATATTTAATTCTTCTCTCAAATGTCCCTGGAATTGACTGATTGAATTATCTCTACTGAATAAAAGGTGACATCACAAGGTGGAACAGAGAATTTTGAGCTTTGGAGATGTAGACAGAATAATAATAAAGGGTAATTCAAATATGTGTCAATAAAACACAACATAACCATGGGTATGTTTTTGACAAGATAACAACATTATAACATGGCTCAAACCTCACAAAAGTCCATTTGCGTAATATAAAATCTTTAATAATGACACTGTTTTTACTATAAAACATATTTGGGCAGGTGCTGTAGGGTTTGTATAGTCCAGATAGCAATTATTAAAACCTGCAATTATTTTTACATTCCAATGATCACGATTATTCTTGCTGCAACTCCAGTAGTCACTCAAAACCAGTCATATGGGAGAGCCACATGAAAAATGAAGGCATCGTCACTGTACCTGAGCTCAGAGATGAAAGAGATTGGACCTGACTGGAATACTGTCAGCACGACCTCTCACTGACTATAGTCTGTTTTGACATATTTATTGAAAGCACACACAAAAATACACACACTGATTCAACATTGCAGTTCTATGCTTGAGGCTATCTGCCAAGCTCTCTTTGTCACATCCAGTAATGAGATATTAATACACACACATACACCATACTGTGCTGGTTTGTAGAATAAACAACGCCACATCTGCGCGGCATCCATTTTAACAAGCAAATATAACGTTGTGGTGTGACAGGCAGAGTGCAGTGTAAGCATGGCTGTGTGTATTTTCAGCCTTATTTAGATGAAATGTCAGAGATATTGAGTCGTGCAGTGATCAGATGCGGTGCTGCTGATGTGGCCGTTACATGCCTCATCGACCAAGTCACTGGACCGAATTTTCTCAGACATCTTCAAAAAACCCACACCCCACATCAGATGGTGAAGAAGTGAAGACACTTTATATCTCAACGACTGACTGAATACATATGTGCATTAGTAATTATAGTAACACTGTGAGACTGTGAGAAAGTTTGACCATTTTCTGTTCTGTATTTTTATGATTCTCAAGAACATATTAAAAAAAGACAACATGACATATTCACACTTAAAGGTCACATACCCAAAGTTGTGTTTTGTTTTATTCACACATGTTTGAGTAATTCTACATTATTAGTCTGTCTACATCCCCAAAGCTCAAAATGTAGTGGTAGTTTTCAAGTTAACAGCTCTTTTTGCCTTTAGTTCAGTAGAGACTGGTAATTCCAGGACTGAAATTATCAAAATGATTCTAGTGAATGTGTGGAGTTTAAAAACACACTATTACCACATAACATCAGAAGGTAGAACAGAGTTTTTTCTGTATGAGAGAAGAGCCAAATATACAGGATTTGTGTGTTAAACATAAATGAAACATAAAAACACTACTCCAGGTATGTTTGTTATGACCAAACAACATTATAAAATGAGGAGTCTTGTCTGTCTCATCAGTCGAACCTCTGCAGTCTCAAACTGTCATCACGTTTAACGGACGACTGACCTGTCTCCTCACAGACTCGTCCTTTCGTCTGTGTCCGACTACTTTGCTGCCATGTTCACCAGCGACGTGCGTGAGGCCAAGCAGGATGAAGTCAAGCTGGAGGGCGTGGACCCTGATGCATTGTGGGTCCTGGTGCAGTATGCTTACACAGGTACAGAGGGTCACAAGCCAATGTATTTTTCTTTTTACTTTGATGGAAACATGGATACTTTTACTGTCACAAAATGCACTTAAACGTAACGGTGCGATGTATAATTTTTCTGATGGAGGGTCCGCCACTTATTTGTTTCACAGAGATGTTATAGCTTTGCCCAAAATGTTCCACAGTAAGGCATTAAAGTCATTTATCTCTCGCACTGATTTGATTACAGGTATTTTCACTGCTCAGAAATACCTTGAAAGGTGTGTGTTCTTACTGTGAGTGGGCTCACCTCTCCACAGATCTGACCTGAGGCTTGGTGGTGTCACATATTGGTCTTTATGGAGATAAATATGTGTAATGCCATACTGTGGAAGATCTTGATGAAGAGGAGCAGATCTTTCACCAAAAAAGTTACAGAATGCAGCTTTAATTTAATCGTGACTCATGTTGGTCCTAACTTTTGAATGAATTTACTTATTTTTACTGTATCTGTTTGAATATACTGTATCTCCTTGGCTTTCAGGGCGTCTTGAGCTGAGAGAGGACACCATTGAGTCTCTGCTGTCTGCCTCGTGTCTGTTGCAGTTGTCCTCTGTGGTTCAGGCCTGTTGCTCTTTCCTCATGAAACAGCTCCACCCGTCCAATTGTCTGGGGATCCGCTCCTACGCAGACGCTCAGGGCTGCCACGACCTGCACAGGGCTGCCCATAACTACACCATGGTAGGTCTTTTGTCTAGTTGTTGCTTAAAGATTTCTGCGTTTTTATAAATAACACATATTATTATCATTATTATTATTATTATTATTATGTAGTGATTTTGTCCTTAGCATCCTGTTTACTGACACTGTGAATGCTCCTATTTTGAATTTTCAGATAATCTAAAAACTTTTTTGTCAGTGTTTGCTAATGTGTGCATTGCGTCACCATGGTAACTGCTGAACATTCCATCAGATACAGATGCATGCAGAACACCCCTAGTGTTGTATTACTGCAAAATATCAGTTGCTTTATTCACTGGTTCATGGGTTGCAACATTTTGTGGACTTTTCGTCATTCAGAAGATATAATATTTAGTTTTGAATTGTTAATTGCTGTGGAAATGGTCTTAATATTTTATCACTCTGAAATAGGGATGTGCAAAAATATTGAAATATCAATATATTGTGCCTTTTAATGATGATACAGTATTGATATTGTGGGTTGCTGTATCGATATCACCAAGACTATATTTTGGTATATTTTACTAAATTATTTTGTTACAGTGCTATAGTTTTGTTGTTTGTTCAGAGGAAGGAAACTTGTTTATGCAACACATTTGACATTTTCACTGTTTTTGATGATTAAAATGAGTGTGTGTCATATCAGGATTTCACAAGAAGTGGTTTAACAAAGACTTTTAGTATCACAGCCGTGATTTAGCCTTTATTTTTTATTAAACCGTACTGAATCAATTTTAAATATATCGTATTGAATCGAAGCTCATTGTATCAAGATATGTATCGTATCGTGGCCTATGTATCGAGGTATGTATCACTTCTATGTGATACCCAGCCCTACTCTGAAACCCATAGTTGGCACTCAGAATGTGCCTTTTGTCAAGCATGCACAATAAATGTTTTCTCCTCATGGTTGCTGTGGTGACTAAAATAGAAGCATTGCCTCTTGAAGATCCATTTTTCTTGTATTCAGATGTTTTTTTCCCATCCCTTTCACACACTTTCTTCTAGTAGTGTACTATACTCACTGAACTGGCATTACATTTACTGACCTTCCCAAGTCTACATTCAAACTCTTGCTATAAACTCAAGTAAATGCACCTTTTTCTCATCCTGTCTGTATTTTCCAGCTTTTCTTATACCCATCATCCTTTGCCCTTTCTCAAGCCCTCATTTCCTTCCCTTTTTATTCAGCAGCCATTGATCGTCTCTCACCCTACACTAAAATATTCCTCAGACTCCTTCCCCTCACCGCCTCTCTCTTTTTGCCATTCATTATTCATCCATTTTCCTCCCAATTGAGTCTAATCGGCCCGACTTGCTCTCTGTACAACTTCCTCTGGGCTCTGACAGGAACACTTTTTGGACGTGGTGGGGGGTCAGGAGTTTCTGCTGCTGCCCGTGGAGGAGATGGTGAGGCTGCTCACTTCAGATGACATTAATGTGCCTGATGAGGAGACTGTGGTGAACTCTCTTCTGACCTGGGTCCGCCATGATGCCTCCGGCCGACAGCGCCATCTACCTTCTCTGCTGGCACACATCCGACTGCCCCTGCTTCAGCCACAGGTGAGCCCATAGACCGTATATATATAAATGGACATTGCTCATCCACTAACCGCTGTGTTCCAAAGAGGAAGTGGGCATGGGCGCACATCCGGCTCTGTCCACTCTGGCTCCACCTTACACTGAAAAATTGTCACCCCTCTCTCTGTAACTGCTGCAGTGAGCCTCATCAAAAAGTTGGTATTAACCAGCTGTGCATCCTGTTTTGTTTTTTTATTTTGCCATTTTTTCCATAAATCAAGATATGATTAATAACAGACAAATCAGGAACTTCTTTCTCAGAGATCGCTGCTCAGAGCGTTAGCAACAGGCTTGATTGACACTGCTGCTAAGCACCGGCTCCCTGTCAAACCAGCGATGTGATACTGAGGGTATTACCGTCAATAACCTGGCTCTGAATTGGCTCTTTGGTTGCTATGATACTTGAGATCAGAATTCCAAATATGGAACTTGGTTCCAAATTTTCCCCTATGACTTGCTGGCATCTGTGAGCTTCATTTGACTGTAGCTGAATGCTGTGGGTGAAGTCATACTCCCTTAGTCCACTTCTTACATGGATGAGCTGCATTTTGCATACATCACATTATGAGCACCATCTGCTTTTTCTGTTTTAAGCATCCCACCTGGAGTAGACTTTTTGCATCATGCAAAAAGATCAGGGTATTATTTATATCACAAAAACGCATTAACATCATACAACGTGACAACTTTCCTTTTGCAAACTTTCACTGCACAAGCTAAACAGGAAAGCACGTTTGTGACATCTTATTTCCTGCTGAGCTCACATTTTCCCCCAGTGTTTTCACTACCTAGTGCTGGCTCCTATCTGTCTCACTGTGCTCACTTAGATTGTTAGACAATTAGAGCCATTACATTACCCATAAATCAGCGCCATTACCGCCTCAGATGCACAGTGCCACTGTGCCTTGTTTGTGTAATTGGGTGTGAGCAACACTCTCTCTTCCTCCTCCCCCCTTCGCTTTTCCTCGGATACTGAAGTATCGCACTGGTAATGCCATTTTGAGCTGTTTATATGCTGCTCAGATCCTCCGCCACAGCCTTGGGCTTAAATGTGTGCTCTCCCACACACACATTTTGAGACTTTAATTAAGTGTGATATCTCTGTTAACTGCAGTTAAATTATCTACCCTCTCCCCTGCTCTATTTTATATGTACATGGATTATATTTTTACAGGGAGGTAGACTTTGCACACTCAGCTGAAATCTCAAGCCCTCACAGCAGTTGCAGGATCAGTCATAACGGACAACATACAGTAGAGCTCTGACCAGACCCAGGCCTCTGAAGTGTGCGACCCCTCCCCCCGTCAGCGCCCATGCTAAAGCAACAAATGGATTAGCATTCAAAGACCTCATGAGCTGCAAAATGCACATAAAATACAGAATAATGTTCACATAGAGACCAGTCAATATTCATCACCCAATTAAGCAGTTTTCTATGTGATTATTCATCAACAGGATGTCAATACACCAGATTAATAGCTCTGCCCCTTGGTGCTGCTTTCTCACATACAGCATATGTAACCCCATGGGAATCTGCAGTAAATGAGAGAGGGTCTGTTACATGCTAAGCAGGTTTTGTACTTGGAGGGGAGACCACTGGGAATGTCACAGTGGGGCAGCAGTGGCTCTAGAGCAAACTGTCGTTGTGACCTTATCTAGTATGAATGTGGTGTGTGAGTGAGAGACGGTCGGAGAGGCTGATGGTGCAGATTGTTCCACTGCCTTTTTAAACAATGACGTGTGTTTCCACTCAGCAGCCCTTCTGCCTGTGCACAAGCCCGCTGAGATGGTCCTGATGTGTGTTTGTGTGTGTGATGTTGATCGATGAGGCGTTGCTGAAACTGAAGAGATGTTTAGCACAGATTATTTCTTATTACTGGTGACCTTTGTGTGTGTGTGAGAGAATTAGAGAATACATTTTAGCAGTGGATGTTGAGTCATTTACACCTATCAGTACAATCAATGTGACCTCTTTGACTCTAAGAACTACAAACAACTGAGGGTTCTCATCACCCGCACAGGTTCAGTTTGTACACCTCTATGAGCTCATGTTTATAAAGCTTTCTTTGCTTTGCAGTTCTTAGCAGATCTGGAGTCAAACCCTCTGCTCCGGGACAGTGTGGAGTGCCAGCGTTTGTTGATGGAGGGGATGAAGTATCACCTCTTGCCTCAGAGAAGACCCTTACTGCAAAGCTCCAGAACTCGACCACGCAAGGCCACTGTGGGGGCCATGTTTGCAGTGGGGGGCATGGACGCCACAAAAGGTGAAATGCACTTCAGTTTGCCTTTGATATTTTTGTGTATTCAGCTGGTAGTTTTCAGATACTAAAATATGATACTGCCAGATGGGGGCAAGAGACAGTTTTCCCTCTCCTATGATTACACTGTACTTGTCATGAAATATCCAAAGGTATACTTTCACAAATTTTGATCATTCCAATTAGTGACTAGACACAAGAACTCATTGCATTACAACAAAAATCTACAATCTCCATCTCTGTTAAATATTACTGACCTATCAATTGCTAGGTCATATGAAACCCAGCACTTGCTAACTTGGAAGCTGCTCATTTTAATAAACAAATGTGTATACTCACATGACTTTCAGGTGCTACAAGTATTGAGCAGTACTGTCTGCGGCGGAATACATGGAGGCAGGTGGCCACCATGAGCGGGCGCAGACTGCAGTTTGGGGTGGCGGTGTTGGACGGGCGCCTGTATGTAGTGGGGGGTCGAGACGGACTCAAGACTCTCAACACTGTGGAGTGCTATAATCCTCACAGCAAAACATGGAGTGTCATGCCCCCAATGTCCACGCACAGGCATGGCTTAGGTGAGCCTCTGTCTAACTAACTAAATTTTGCTTCACAGTTACCCTGCTTTCACTAGTGATCTCATATTAAAAGTCTGATGTGATAAGGCATTCTCTAAAGAATTATTAGACTTAGACTTGACAAGCTTTATTGATCCACAGGGGAAATTATTTGGACACAACAGCTCACACATCACAACATTTTGTAATAAAGAGAAAAAATATAAACGATAATAATACATTCTAAGTAGGTAGCAGAAATAGGCTAGGTTTATCTGTTACATACTGTAAAGGTGACATGATCTGTGTGTGAGTACAACACACGAGAGCCCACTGATCTAATGACATATTGCTTGATTCTGTCTCTGCAGGTGTAGCTGTCTTAGAGGGGCCCATGTATGCAATAGGGGGTCATGATGGCTGGAGCTACTTAAGCACAGTAGAGAGGTGAGGCCAGCCTTTGAGACTTTAACCTGCACTGTGTATCTCATCTATGTTTCATTTTGACAGGTGGGATCCCCAAGCTCGACAGTGGAGTTTTGTTGCAAGTATGTCTACCCCCCGGAGTACTGTAGGAGTGGCTGTTCTGAATGGCAAGTAAGTGCAAACTCTAAAAAAAAAATTGACACAGATGCATAAAAAGACGGATTTGTCTCATTTTCATTCTTATTTTGTATTTTGTCTGTTTTGCCACTGACGAGTCAAATGAGTGCACTTTTTAAAGAGTCCAATATTACACTATTTCCTGATCTATGTTATAAGGTTGTTTCCTCGTCAAAACATGGAATTGCACTTTATTTCATTCATGTAACGCATAAACCCTACATATTTAGGCAGAGTTCTTCTCTCAAACAGAAAACACCCCACCTTGTGATGTCATGTGGTAATACAGGGAGTGCACCACTGTGGTTTTAAACTCCATACAGCTTCACTAAAATCATTTGGATGATTTGAGCACTGGATATGACAATCTCTACTGAACTAAAGGTGAAAGGTAGCTGTTCACATGGAAACTACTGCTTCATGACATCACAAGGTGGAACAGATTAATAATAAAGTATGCATAATATAGGAAATTTGGTTATCTTGACTGAAACCTGTATATAAATTGTGGCCTTTAATAGCTTGCTGAACTGAACCTCCTACACTACCTGATATTCTCTAGCAGCCCACCAGAGAAGATTAAAACTGCAGCACAGCTTGTTGTTTTTATTAGACTGTGCCACAGAGGCCCCAGCGCAGGCCTTTATAGATGGTAATTAATACAGAAACAAGTGATTTGAGCTAAGCATGCCCAGCAGCCCAGTGTGTCTGTTTGCAGATAGGGCATTCGAGTGCATGTGTGTGTGTATGTGCCGGTTTTGCTCATTACTTGCTTGGTTGGTTCAGTTTCACTCTGTTTTGGCCCTCACTATCACCACATGAACACACACACACACTTAATACTGACTGCTTCTGGTTTTGATGCCTCGGGAGTGTTTGGGAGATTGATTTTGATTTTTAGTGCCTCACTCTGCTTTTCTTCTGCTACAAACTTGTTCCATCAGTTTCATTGTCACTGAAGACACATGTTTCTTTGAGGTCCAGAAGTGTGTGCAGATGTGTCTGTGTCTGTGGCCAGTGCCAGAGTCATTTGTTTTGTCTGCATCAGAGATGATACTGTGTTGTTGTATATTGCAGGTTGTACGCAGTGGGAGGTCGTGATGGTTCCTCTTGTCTGCGTTCAGTTGAGTGCTTTGACCCTCACACCAACAGGTCAGTACAAGGCTCCTTTGACCAGAGTTAGATTGTTGTCTCCATCTCAGTTTACTGACTGGTCCAATGTGGCAGTTAACCATATAGTATTAACAGTATTAAGCCATAGCGTTGTCAGGTTTTACATAAAAACTTTATAAATGCTGATCCTGCTTTGCAGATGGACTAGCTGTGCGCCCATGGCTAAACGGCGAGGTGGGGTGGGCGTGGCCACGTGGCACGGTTTCCTCTATGCTATTGGTGGCCATGATGCTCCTGCCTCATCTCTGGCCTCGAGGCTCAGTGACTGTGTGGAAAGGTAAACTTTCACATATTGTATGCACATAGCTGTTTGAAAGTGCATGTCATATAGAAGCTTTAGTGCATTTCTAAAAATAAAATAGGAAATACATATAAATATATATTATTTTTATTTCCATATAATTCTTTTTATGCTGTGATAATGTTACTGTATAACTTTTCCACAGGTATGATCCTCAGACAGATATGTGGACGGCTGTAGCCCCTATGAGTATCAGCAGAGACGCTGTTGGCGTGTGTCTCCTTGGAGACCGGCTCTTCGCAGTTGGTGGCTATGATGGACAGGTCTACCTGAACACTGTGGAGGCTTATGACCCTCAGACAAATGAATGGACACAGGTATGTACCCCAATACTCACACACTTGTTTGGAGTTAGTCAATGTTGTTATCAGAAACTGGATTTCAGTTTGAGCAAAAAGTAGTTCCCACGAACATGGGACATTTGATCATTTAAAATAGGCTATGGAAAATAGACAATGTTTTTTTTCACTCTGATGCACAAAAGGTTATAGTTTATTTGTTATATAAAGATGAACCATTCTGTTTTGAGCATTTTGAACTGTGTAAAAATATATCATTAGCATTTTCAAATATAACATTGTTATTTCCTTAAATTCTACTACAATGTTTCTCTTTTAGGTGGCTCCTCTGTGCCTGGGCAGAGCCGGTGCTTGTGTGGTGACAGTCAGACTCTGACACATGTCCATGCTTGACCATCGGAGGACTATTGCCATAGCTTGAAATCCATGAATAGAAAACATTAAAAAGGGGGCAGTTTTTTTCATACAGGTTTTTTTTGTTGTTATTTTTAAGAGATAAAGTCCCAAAACAGCTGGCTGCAGATTTTCATTCACCCACAAGTTATGCCTCCATTCTGCATTTATTGGGGCTAACAAATGGATGAGACTAATTATTAAGAAGAACGGTGAGATCATTTTTATGTTAAGGTTTCTTAAACATCATAAAAACACATCTGACATTAAAAGTTTACATCTTCTCATCTATTTATATTGCACCTATTAAGTTATGCTGCATTTGGCCTGCCCTGCTGTGCTTCCTCGTTCCCTTGACAGGAGAGAGAAGAGCTCTGACATAATCAGGACAACCTTGTGAACTGCCAAGCCCTTATCCTTATGTGCACATGTCATATTATTCAGACATGCCCATTGCATCAAAGTGTGAGAATATTTTATTACTCTTCTGCAACTACTGCAGGCTTTACATGATTACATACACTGCAATGGTCAGTTGAGCTACTGTATCTCCCTACCTCTTTCGCCTCATGCTTTTTCCATCACCATGCAAAGTGCTCAATTTTGGAACATCAATCTATTATGGTAATATATTACATGATTTTAGCTGGTATCAGTATTAAACTTGAATTTTATGACTCTTGTATAGTATAAACTCTTAAATCTTGTCTTGTATAGATGTGTTTAAATATGTTTTTGCATTCATTTTTGTTTGTCCCCTGACTCCTGACTAAAGAAAGCAAAGAGGGCATCCTGTCTGAGCAGCCCTCAAAATGCACATTTACATGCACACAAACTGTTTGAAGTTTATGTGGGGTCTAAATCAAATACAGAAGTTTAGAAGTATGCAGTGAGAAAACATTCCGATTGAAATCCTTTATGAATGTATGTGCATTTTGTAAATATGATGTTCTCTGTTGTTTTTGTACATAAATGTGTTTATTTGGCTATAAGCCATTATGTTTTGTACCATATAATCAAAAAGCAGAAATGTTACTTATGCCTTTTGTATCATACATTGTAATGCCTTCTATTGTACATTATATATACCATTATTGAATTTTTGTACATTCAAATCAATATGAGATATAATAAGGTAATGATTTCTGTTTGACAGCGTAACTGTGTTGCATTTAAATCATGTTTATGACACTACATTTTTCACTAAATCACATCACTATAAAATGTAAATGTGTGTTTTCATTTGTGGGCTGTGTATCTGCATTCTCATAGGTTTAGACATTTTTTAAAGCACCTTAATGCGCACTTGCTGAGTGACTGCAGGATTTCGAGAGATAGCTACAGCAGCAAATCCATTTGCTTGTAGCCTGGATGGTCAACTATCCATCCATTTTCTTTCGCTTTATCCAGGGCTGATTGTGGAAGCAGCAGTCTGAGCAGGGAGGCCCAGACTTCCCTTTCCACACACACTTCCTCCAGAGCTGGAGGATCCCAAGGCGTTCCCAAGCTAGCCCAGAGACATAGTCCCTCCAGTGTGTCCTGGGTCTTCCCTGGGGCCGCTTCCTTGTGTGACGTTCCTGGAACACCTCCCAAGGGAGGCGCTTAGGAGGCATCCGAAACAGATGCCCAGGCCACCACAGCTGGTTCCTCTCGATGTGGAGGAGCAGCGGCTCTACTCCAGGCTCCTCCCGTGTGACTGAGCTCTTCACCCTATCTCTAAGGCAGTGCCTAGTCACCCTGCAGAGGAAGCTCGTTTCAGTTCAGTATTGGCAATCTTGTCCTTTCAGTCATTGTCCAAAACTCGTGACCATAGGTGAAGGTAGAAATGTAGATTGACCGGCAAATCGAGACTTTCGCCTTTCGATTCGGCTCCCTCTTCACCACAACAGTCAGATACAGCGACTGCATCACTGCCGACATTGCACCAATCCGCCTGTCAATGTCATGCTCCATCATTCCCTCACTAGTGAACAAGACCAGAGATGGTTGAGGCAGGGACTCAACTATTCTGTTTAAATGTGGAATAGAAATAGAACTTGTTTTGACATTGGCAAGTTGGAAAAATTTCTCAGTGGCAGTCAAAAATCTGAGAAATGTGTCAGTTCACCTAACATGTTCTAGTCATATGTTAAATTACAGCATCGGAGACATTAGGGGGCACACATTTCTCTGGTTTGTACTGAGTCAGCAGGTGTCCTCCGTGTCCTCTGTCTGCATGAAAAATAACAAACACTAGCTCATTTACAGTGTCTGATGTATAAGAATACTGGATTGCCTTAATTGACAACAAAATAAAGCTGAGTAGAGTGACCAAATAAAACACATTGACCTATGTATTTTTCGTAGACATTCGTATCATTTTGACGGTGCATGACGGGAGAAGATGGGCGTGCGTCTGGTGTGCGCACGGTTGCTACACGGTTGCTAGGGCCGTTGCTATGACACCGCAGCGCTTCCGCAGACGCTTGGAGTGAAGCATTATGGGTGAACCAAAACGAAGATCGAAGATGTTTTGATTGATATTGTTTCTTTCCTTTCGGAAAATAAATGCTACAACAATGAAGGTTAGTGGAACTAGCAAGAGCAAAACTTTTCTTTTAATTCTAGAGCAAAATGTAAAACTCTTCGGTTGATTAAGTGAGACGTTCTCATCTTGCTGCTGGCTAACTAGAAGGCTAACTAGGTGTTTGCTAATAACCACGCAGATAAAGTCAAACTTTCGTGTTTTGTACATTAATGGGGGGCGTGTATCGCATTTAAAGAGTGTACACATATATGAAAGTATTGCATTAACAACGTAAATACATTGGCTAGTATGTAAGGATATGCGAATGTAGCTAGCTGTACAACAAACTGCCTCCCCATAACTGCTAACTAATAGTCATTATTTGAGTGTGTCCATGTGCTTCAGTGTGTTTTCGTACTTGCGGATAAAGCGTGGGCAGGATCCAACATACTTTATCGGTGGCAGAAAAGTCTTGGCAATTATGTTGCTGTGGCAGGGTGAGTAAAAAATTGTATTATAACGTTATAACCATAGACTGTATATTCTTTTATACAATCTGTGGTTATAACCAATTTACTAAGATTCGACTTCTTCCAAATCTGTTAGACATGATAACAGTGTGAAAATATTTGACCGGCATGGACACAAGTGGGCAGAGCTCAATCTGCCAGGGTAAGTGCACAAACTTGGCAGTTTCCCTTTTTAAATGATTTTACTATTTTAATGTAATTTCTGTTTTCTGTGTAGCCGCTGCGTGGGGATGGACTGGGACAAAGATGGAGATACTTTGGCTGTGATAGCTGCGAAATCCAACGCTGTTCACCTTTGGGACGCTAGTGTCAATAAAACATCTCACATAGAGAGTGGAATGAGGTTACTGTTGACAAATTATTTGCAACAGCCCTGTATGATTTTTTTTATTATTTTTTTTAATTAAAAAATTGTTGTTTACTTCAGAGATCAAATGTCCCTCATTTTGTGGTCAAAAACAAGTTCTCTGTTGGCCATTGGAACTGTTAAAGGAAATCTACTGATTTATAATCCACAGACATCACGCAAGATTCCTGTACTTGGTAATCTTCACATTTGTACATTGCTGTATGATATTTTCTATTGCCTTAAATGTCACTATTTTGTCTCTTTTTTCTTTAGGTAAACATACCAAAAAGATAACATGTGGGTGCTGGAGTTCTCAAAATCTTCTGGCTCTAGGAAGTGAAGACAACACTCTTACAATCAGTAATCATGAAGGGGACACAATTCGACAGGTACTGTTTTTCTTGTAGCACACATACAAATACAAAGGATCGTTTGATTTCTATTGGTGTGCATTAATTTCTTTAGACAACATTACGTGGTGAACCAGCTGAAATTTATTTTTCTGTGAAAAAGACGGATGAAAGATCCACGCATGGTGAGAGCACTGTAAGTTCTTTTCTTCTTTATAATGTTGTTGTTTTTTGTTTTTATTTTTATTTTTTAATTTGTGTTTTTGTTCTTCAGGTAAGTGTCTCTGTGGACAAGAAAATACTTGTTCTGTTCAACATTAATGACCCTGAGGACAGGATAGATTTGGCTTTTCAGCGCCACTATGGGCATATTGTGTCATATCGCTGGTACTTTCCTTACAGATTCAGACTCAGTTGGTCCATTCCATTGTTATAAATATTATGTTACTTGTAGGTATGGTGATGGTTACATCCTCATTGGTTTTTCCAATGGGTATTTTGTGGTGATCTCTACTCACATCAGAGAAATAGGCCACGAACTTTACCAGGCGCACAATCACAAAGATTGTCTCAACAGTGTGGCCATCTCTTCAGCTTTAAACAAAGCTGCTTCTTGTGGGGACAACACGTATGTACATGACCTTACCAGCCACGTTAACTGAATGTTTTACTTGGACATCACAATATTTGTTGTTGCAGAATAAAGATCCATGAGCTTTCTGATCTTAAAGATATAAGTAATTTACTTCGACTGGATGATGAAACTAAAGGTGTGGTAGATTTCCTTTCTGGAGTAAAGAATTTTGAGTTCGTGTTCTACTAATCTCAACCTCTTTTTTTGCAGGACTGGACCAGCTTAGCTGGACAGATGATGGTCAACTACTGGCCGTCTCCACTCAAAAAGGAACGCTTCATGTTTTCCTTACCAAGCTGCCCATCCTGGGTGACAGTTTTGGAACCAGAATGGCTTTTCTTACCTCTTTGTTAGAGGTCACTGTGTGCAACCAAGTGGAAGGGGTGAGAAGACATTTACATATTAATTATATGCATTGAAAAAGACAATGTACATGCCAATACATGGACAATTTCTGCTGACTTTTTCAGGAGAGTCCTGTGGCTATTGAAGTGGAAGTTGAACCAACTTTTATTGCAGTGGGACCATACCATGTGGCAGTGGGAATGAACAACAGAGCCTGGTTTTATGCTATAGAAGATCAAACGCCTGGTCTGTGACATTACATTTCCATACTGTTTGATATGCTTCACACACTAAACTTAAAACTTTCACCCAGGTTTTAAAAAGTTGAAGGACATTGAATATCTGGGTACAATAGCCAACATGTGTCTCAATGCTGAATACGCTGCTGCGCTGTTTGAGGGAAAGGTTCAGCTGCACATGGTGAATACATTGTCTTTATAATCTTCATAAATTCAGTTTACATTACTCAAGAGTCGTCTGTTTGAGTGCAGATTGAAGGCAGAGACCAGGAGGAGAAGAGACAGATGAAGCTGTTTCCAGATGATGACAGAAAAGGACGGATTTTATGTCATGCTCTTACCAACGATTTCCTATATTACGGAACAAGTGTAAAATTATAAATTTTCATTATTAGAGAATTATTTATAATTCAGCAACATCTGAAGTAACATTTTTGTGCACAGTAGGTTTTTTGCTTTACCTTGTTTCATTTTCTTCTGTCAGTTAGGTCATATTCTGTGTTTCCTGGTGGAGGACTGGGAAAAGGTGTACAGTTACGAACACTCTGTTGGTGTGATCAAAGTGTTTCCAGATCTGAATGGATCACGGATAGTTTTTATTGATGACAAGAATGGTGGCTTCTTACTCTCTCCTTCAAATGTACGTAAATGTCGCAGCAATAATTTATCAATAAGAAGAACATACTGTGACTGTAGTTTTTAAAAAAATCATGTGTTATTTAGGCAGCTGACTTCTGCCTTGAGCTCCCCAACTTCTCCCCGACCATCACAGGAGTGCTCTGGGACAACTGGCATGCTGATAGAGGGGTGTTTGTGGCATATGACGATGACAAAGTCTACACTTACGCCCTGCATAAAACCACTATATATGGTACAGTAACTGACACATATTTTTATGTAGCCTGAAACATCTACAGTAAATTAAATAACATAGACTTTTTAAATATATATTGTTTACATTTATAATCATATTTTATTCTGGGTCAGGTCCCAGGGTGGTGTTGGTTGGAAGCACTCCTCTTCTCTTTTCCCAGAAGCCTTTGCTCTTGTATAATGGAGAGCTGACCTGTCAAACAGCCAGTGGAAAAACCAGCGATGTCACCCTGAATACACACTTGTTTCTAAAAAGCTCTGCCAAAAAAGATGCTAAGTCATCAGAAGACATCAACAAGCAACTGAATGATGCACTGATGCTGAAGAGGTGTTGCATAGTTTGAGTCAATAATTTCAGTTAATTCAAACTTTAGTTGTTACATTT